GGAGGGAGAAAGGGCATAGGTGAGAACACAGCTGTAGTTGGCTATTCTGAAACAATTTGGAGAGTACGGCTCTAAGAAAGAAAAAAAGGGAAAGGGAGCCTACTATGGCCTGAATGTTCGTGTCTCCCCATAATTCATATGTTGAAATCCTAAGCCCTAAAGGTAGGGCCTTTGGTAGGTGTTTAGGTCATGAGGGTACAGCCCTCATGAATGGGATTAGTGCTCTTATAAAAGAGAGCCCCCTTGCTCCTTCCACCATGTGAAGACAAAGAAAAAATAAGAAGTCTGCAACCTGGAAGAGGGCCCTCACCCAACCTTGATGGCACCCTGATCTCAGATTTCCAACCTGTTCGTCTGTGAGCCATAAATTTCTGTAGTTTATAAGTGACCTAGTCTGTGGTATTTTGTTGTAGCAGCCTGAACTAAGATACGGCCCAACTAAGAATATTCCTCATTAATTTTCTAAAGAGTTAGTCCACCAGGAAGCCAACTATTCTTACTTTCCAGATAAGGCAAGTTTCATTCATTTATTTATTCAAATTCAGTAAATAAATATAGTAGTTCAGACCAATATTATGGATTGGCTTGGTAAATACCTCTCTGCTTCTTAGCAGAGAATCGAGCAAGAAATTTACATGTGACTTAAGACTGTTCTAAGTAACTTTTTTTTTAAAGTTTATTTACTTAAGTAATCTCTACACCCCAACTCATGACCCCAAGATCAAGAGCCACACACTCTTCCGACAGAGCCAGCCACGCACCCCATAGACTGTTCTAAATAATCTGTAGGTTACATAGTTCCGTGCTTATGGTCTAAACATATCAAGGACAAAAGGAATTATCTCAAAATAAAATCACCCTTCAAAAATTATTAAAGAGATCTGGAAGATGTTAAATTGAAGCTTAACATCAAGTCAGGGTCTGAATATACCAGAACTGCTATGTCTTAACAAATTTACTCCCCTAGGGGCAACATAATATACATAAAACTGAAAATGCACAGGCCTGCCGTTTGCCAATGGCTGTAGGGAAATACTCTAATATATTTGAAATCTGCCAAGAAAACAGTTTACCCTTTCAGTTATGTCTCATTTTATGTTTTTGAATTTTTAATAAGTTTTATTGATTCTTGTTGACCATTTTTCTATGACACACTGAGAAAATTGTTTTAGAATTTTCTCTCTAAACACCCTCCATAAAATTTAATTATATTGCTTTTCATTTGTATAGTTCTTGGATGCTATTTTCCCCACTTTGTGTCAATGACTCATCATAGGAAAAAAAAAGGTTCCCATCCATTCCTTACTTGGTATCTATATGACTGTAAGGGAAGACATTGGTTTTATCCACAAACTACTGTAGCCAGATTGTTGCAGAAATATGAATTAATTAATGCAGAACTGATGTAACACTGTTACCAGGAACCAAAGAGTTAAATTCAGGATCCAAGGTAATTCCTATAAATGAAAGTGTTTGGTATTTGTGTCTGAATCATGGTGGCGTATTAAAGTGTAAGAGGGAGGGTGGGATGGAGAGACAGAAAACCTCACCACAGCACATGGAAGTTTCTCCTTAGGAGAGCCTTGTGGCTCATTGTGCCTGTCAAGTAGGCTAATGTGCCTGTAAATTTCCTCTGACAGAAAACACATCACAGCAGCACCACCAGAAAACAACACAACCAAACTGTGGAAGACTGAAAGCCCAGCGCTTTCAAGGGTGATCAGAATGTAACAGAGTAAAAAAATACAGTGCATTGAAAATAAACAAAGGCTGGGAAGAAATGAGATCACTTTCTAAGAAAAAAGCATTTATCATTTATAGGCCAAAGGAAATGCTTCTCCCACAGCCATTTTTTATGTATTATTTGGCAGTCTCAGTTCAAGGTCAAAAATATCAGAGGGCAAAAGAAATAGGACTCAAGATTTAAGATTTGTCATGACTGGCTTTGTAATTGCATAAATATTAAATATGTAGAAATAATTGTAAGCACATTATCTCCACATCTCCCCATGTTGCTTTAATTTTTAATGTAATCTTTTATCCGCGTTTTCCTCAGCTGGCTGTGGATTTGTGATTTGCATAGCTAGAATGATCTGGTGCCATCAATTTAGTAATGAAGTCACTCATTGAGCAGAAGAGGCTTCTAAAGATTATACAAAGCTGTAGGAAAGAAGGGTGTGGAAATGAAATTTTATGTTTCAGGTAAATGGGAAGTTTATTTTACAGCACATTTTCCCATTGTACATCTATAATGGCCACTTTAAAATAAATTTGGAAAACAGAGAAGAGGGGGGACAAAGCATCCACATTTTCATCATCCTAACTTATTGGTGTTGTATATTCTGGTCTTTTATACCTATGCACATATATTTTTAACACAGATGTAATCACTATGTGTGTGTTTATAAAATTTTGTATTCTCCTTTTTTCTCTTATTAACATAGTTATCATAACTATAACTTTTATGATTGTAAAATAATAATAAAAAGAAAAGTCCATAATTTACTCAGCCACTCAGTTTCTGGTGTCTAGCATAGCAGAATGGTTAAGCAGCTGACACTGCAGCCAGATGAATCAAATACCAGCTCTGCCACCTAACTGTGTGGATCTGGACAGGTTAGTGAAGGCTGCATCTCAGTTTGCTCATCTATGAAATGGGGATAATAACAGTGCCTCCATGAGAGTGTTCTGGTAAGAGTTAAAGGAAATAATCCATGAAAAGCACCTAGCCTGGCTCTATTATACAGGAAGGACTAAAACAAAGTGTTATTGAAAACAAGAAAGTCAAATACATTACAGTATGTTTCAAAATTAACAAAAAAAAGTTTCAGTCCTACAGAGTCTCCTGAGACCTTGCCATCACCCCACAAGTTCCCTTGTGCCTTTTACTAGTAACAACTCCCCACCTCCACTGCTAACCAGATTTTGATCGTTAACATTTCCTCACTTTGCTTCATGCTTAACATATGTTTCCTGAAAAATATAGCTGTTTGGCCTCTTACTGAACTTGATGTAAATGGCATCTGTCTGTCTCTCCCTCTCTCTCTCCTTCTCTCACACACACATATTCACATACACAATATCATTCTGTATTTAGGAGGCATATAATCCAAGGCTTGATTTTGTTGTGATGAAGAAAGGTTTGGACAGGGAGCCAGAGAGCTTGGCTTCTAATCCAGTCTCCATGAGATCCCAGGCAAATCTTTTTGCTTCCCTGGGGACTCCATGTAAAATGTGTGCATGTGCTAAGTGTCTCTGAAGCTTTGGAGTACTAAATTGTTAAGCCTTTCCTATTTGAGTACTGTGTTGGCATATGAGAAACCAGAGCCAAAGAGAATCCAGAGAAAGACCTGGGGCCTGCTGGAAATAAGCCTCCTCTTCCCCAAAATCATGCCAGTAATAGTGTCAGCAAACAAAAGACTATAAAAAAAATGAAAGTGATGATCCTACACCACAAATAATTTTCTCTTCTCTGATATGTGCACATTTAGATATATTATTGGCCTTAGTGATCATGTGCATGGACATTTTCCCCAAGATAAGTCATAACCATAAAGATTTTAATGTCAGGAGTTTGGAGATCAAATAAATAATTACATATTATAGGTTTTCCTGGACAGAGTCAGTTTTAAACATCTTCACTGATTCTAAGTATTTCTTTTATGTATTTCTGTATTTGCGTCTGGATTTCTCCCAATACTGCCCGTAGTAAATACTGCAGGTTGGCTCACTTAATGTCCATTCCACCCTCAGCTTCTGGCGTCTTTCATAATGCAGAGACTGGAAGCTTACAACAGTTTCTAGACTTCTTTGCACCTAGAGCTATGGATATGAATTAGGTCTGCAATTAGATATATTCATGCAAGATTTAGAAAACATAAGAGAAGTTGGGCCATCTCCCTGACCACTCTTGGCTGTATTTCCCTAATAATTAAAGTCACTGAAACATTTTTCTGAAGCAGTGTTCCATGGCCCATTATTCAGCCCCCTGAAAGACAATAAGCAGTTGGGACAGCAGTAGCTTTCTGGCTCTGCCTGCTATCATAGGGTTATGTTACTGATACTCATATTCTAAAAGTCCTCAGCAGTCATAGCTCCGCCAATAGGTCAACTCTGTATTGTACTGGAATCATTGATTTTCAGAGGCTCTGTCACTCACTTCTCCAACCCTGATCATTCATTTTTGTAAGCACCCTCTATTAAATACTTTCCTTCGTGAAAATACCTAAAATTATTTCTATTTGTTTACACTGAACCCTGACTGATATACATCCTAATTGTTACTTTAGAAAATCTGTTCACAAGGTATAAAGTATCATAACTGTAGAATGCTGTATTGAAAAGAGAAGTTTCGAACCAAGAAAAAACAAGCTATACCATTTAGTATCTATGTGTCCTAACATGTTGTCTAACTTCTCTGTATCCATGTCCTTTCTAAATAAAATAGATACTAACATACTAATCTTACAGAGTTGTAAGAATTAAATGAGGCAGCACAGGTAAAGCACCTAGCATACACTGGTCATTCATTATATAGAGTTTATTTCTTTCTATCCCCATATTGGACTTTCTTGAGTAATTAAGATGATTAGTAAAATAATTTTGGGGGAAATTCTCTTTAAAGGACTTATAAAAAAACACACTCTTATAGGAACATAAAGATTCACAAAGACAAGAGGAATAGCTTTAAATGCCATTCAAGAGCAAACAGACTTCTATTATGAACCAGAGCAATCCATTATGAGTACTACCAATTCACCCCAACTAGTGGCTCAAGGCCCAAATAATCATTAATTCATTCAATGAATATTTATTAAGCATTGACATTGCTAGACATGACTTTATTCATTAAGATACAGTGATAAATCAAAAGGTCCCCAACTTCCAGGAGCTTGCATTCTACTGGAAGAGACAGACATAAAGTAAGTCAATAAATAATTTCAAATAGTGAGAAACACTATGAAGAAAAGGCACTCTTCCTTTAGCTCTCTTTCCCTTACCTTCTCAGAAGTTTATTATGTTACTTGACTCATCCTCATTCTTAGCTTCATGGAAGGGAAAGCATAAGGAGGTGAAGATTATGCCAACAGTGTCATGATTCTCTTAGGCAGACGAGTAGTTTCAGGATCTGTGAAGGGTCTGGGGCCTGTCACTGTTTCATGGATGCCAGAAGAAAACACGAGATGCCTGGATTAGAGACAAAAAAGCATGTCAAAGCAGCATAAGCATGATATTGGTGTTTCCCATATCTCCCAAATCCCAGAGGGTCTAAAGGAAGGGGTCCATATGGGTGCCATACACATAGCGGATTTCTGTCATAGGCCAAAGAATACCGAACTTGGAGAATTTACTGCTTTTATAGTGTTTGGTAAGCAAGCCTGCTCTTGGTTTGGGAGAAGATACTACTTGGTTGCTCAAGGTTGCTCACTGCAAACACAATCCTGAAATTGACCCAAGTAAAGAGTAGCCAGGGGTCTTGCACTCTTGGCACACACAGAAATAATGTGTAGAGGTGCTCATGGCCCAACGGATAGGAGATAAAGTGATTGCACCCTCCAACCTCTATAGTTTTATGCAATTATAAGTATAAAATTTTCTTAAGTTCTTAACCCCTTCCAAACCTTAATCTTAGATATGATGTAGTTAGGCAACTGAAGAGTTCAGTCAGACTTAGAATAGCAGTTGGCACGGGAAGAAATAAATTTTCCAGTTTTACCAAATATAACCTGAGGCTCTTGTATAGACATAGACCCTCTCATCATCAGAAGAATGGAGCCAGACCTCATACCTTCCAGAAACCTCACCCCAGGCTCTATTCCTGTTCAAGATTACATTGATTGCCCATTTTAACAAACCTCAGATGCAAAAATCTATTTCTGTAGGTAGGGAAAATAGTGTATGTTCCTACCCCAAGCACTCCTCACATGGCCATTGTTCTTGCATTCTGATGCAAATGGCTCTTGCTAGATCATCCTCACAGCTCTCTTTTCTTGGGCTCTCAAGCCATGGATCAATACCAGGGAGAGAAAATTGTAGACTTCCTCCATGACATATCAGTGCTGTCCAAATTATCCATGTGAACTCCATTATCCACTTCCTGTAATGATTATTTCAAATGTTCTCTACCCTACTCACTTCTTCATGGGACCGTTCTTCCCCTTTCCCAGAGAAAATGGAAAGTAACTGGGGAATGCTCTCTCCGTATGTCATTTGTTACCTCTTGTAATCCTACAGCACATGCTGAAAAATAGCCATTACTATCCCAATGTGGCATGTTGGAAAATGGAGCTTTGGAGATATATAACTTTCCTAAAGTCACAAAAGCTATGTGTCCTGGAGAAGGAACCAGATTGAATCTTTATGATATGGGCCCTGCCCCCATGCAGCTTCCAGATAAGGTAAAATAAAACTTCTCGTTTTTTTAAGTGTTAGTGTAAAAAGTTCTAGCCTCCTAAGCCACAGAAACATGTGCACTATAGAGAATGTTTGCTTTTACTTTTCCTAGATACATTTTCTCATATCATAATGATTAGATCTGTAGCTGTTTGTTTCCCTAATGACAGAGCTAATTGCTCTGATCCAAAGGGCGAATAAAACTCTTATCATCCCCAAAGCAAAATATTATATCCTGGGATAGGCACCTAGGTTAGTTCTGAAGGTGCTGGGGAGACTGGAGTGTTATTTTTATAGTTATTTAAATTCCAACTTGGAATGAGGCCCTAGAGCTTAGAAACATCTGGAGTAAGGAGGAGAGACTTTCAGGAGATGAGGAGGAACAGTTGCATCCTTTATCTTTATAAACACAGAAAAATCACTTCTTGTCCCTTGTCTATAGAGTATCTGGCCACTCATGTAGAAAAATTTTCATTGGCTTTCATAATATCACCCCAAGGGTAAGATCTGGAGCAAGGTGGGAGAGTGGAGCATGCAGTTCTTATTTATTCTGGGGTAGTAAGAAATCTGCCTCTGATCCAGAACATCTCATATGCTCATTCAAGGTAAAATGAATAAAGACAAATATTTAAAACACAATACTAGGGGCACCTGGGTGACTCAGTCAATTGAGCATCTAACTCTTGATTTCGGCTCAGGTCATGGTCTCAGGGTTGTGAGACAGAGTCCCGTGTTGGGCTCTGCGCTCAGCAGGAAGTCTGCTTGGGATTCTCTTTCTCCTCTCCCTCTGCCCCTCCCCCTGATTGCATGCATGCTCTGTCTCTCTGAAATAAACAAAATCTTCAAAAAAAATCCCACAATACTAGACATTTCAGAGAAGGGATAAGAACACAAATGCTTCCAGACCATGAAACAAATAGTTATAACAAATACCTGGTAATATTTGAAGAGATATAGTGTTTGAGCTTCTTTGTGTAGAATGAGTAGAAGTTTGCTGGTGGACAAGGCTGCTGAAAAGCATTCTAAACATAAAGAATTGTACCAAGGATCTGAGGTGCACCTTTGTTCAAGTTGTTATAATATTGGGCCTTTCTTCAAGGTACTTTATTTCCATATATCACAAAATTGTCATATTAATTTCATTAGAATAAGATATTCTACTGCCATCTTCCAGAAGATAGTTCTAATAACAAATTGACAATATCAGCAATACATACAGCATGTCTTAAAGATGTTCTATGTATGGTTTGTACAACCATACCCAGTGGCCCTGTCTGCTTGGCTCAACAGGAAGAAAGCAAATTGTTCAACATGACTAGCGTGAGGACTGTGTGTGAAAGTGCAGGAGTAGGGGAATAGGCTGGATAGAAAGGCAGAGGTCAGAATTTGAAGAAATTTAGGGTTCATACTAATGTGATTAGAATTAGATGTGAAAGTGCTGGGAAACTACTGATGGATTTTAGGCAAGAACTAATGGAACTGACATTTTCATAAACCTAGAGCATAGAGCATTGGAAAAGTGGCAAAAGTAGGGTAAGATTAGTCGGGAGACCTGGTAAGAGACCAGAAGACCACAGGAGCTCTATGATAAGAAAGGATAGGGAGAAGGCTGATTTCTTTGGCCTCAGAGGGACTGGAGGCGGGGGGCGGGGGGGGGGGGGGTCTTCTTCCTGTCCAGAGTGATTCTCTCCTCCAGAGCTATTGGTCCCCATCACTGTACCTTCTTCTCTACCACCTTGATCTTTCACTTAACTCTTCTTTTTCCTGTGTCTTCAATCTCTCTCTCCACTTGTTCCAACCCTGCAGGCTTTGGTTGCCCTAATATGCCAAAGTCTTGATTCTGCTCCCCCTGTTTTTCTGCACAAGTATTTCCCCCTGTATTAGAATGGCTTTACTCACTCTTCAGATTAGGAAAATACTACCCTTCTAACAAGTGGTTGAATAGCCCCTAAGCAGCAGTGTGGTAGCTAATAGAGCCACAAGGATCACTACTGAAGCTACTAGGTTGGCTTACCACACTTGCAGAGATTCAGCCAGTAAGATGACAATAGGCTCAACTGGATTAAGGTAATTTATTACTTATACAGCAAAAATAGTATCAGCATGGTGTCACCTGCCCACATCTCTAGTCCCACAGGATGATACTGAACTGGAAGGACCTAATGAGAGAGACAGGAGTGATGAGTTGATCTGTTCCTGAGAAGCCATCTAAACTATAGTCTGACAGTTTCTAGATTAACACAGAAGCTTGAAGCTTTAATTGAAGCCGGGTGAAGTAAGATGGAAAGTCCTATGCCCTGCTGAAACTAGGGAGCTTGATGAGAAATGGTTTGATAGAAGTCTGCTGCTCATAAGAAGCTTATCTCCTCTTGGTCATGGAGGAATTGCAGGGCATTCCACCAAGACTGATCAGAAGTGCCTTTGTGGCTTATGTGAAGACGTGGAAGGTCATGTGGTGGCCGGGCTGTACCCCAATAACTCCACCTCTGACCTTTCATGTATTGAAGTAAGAATTATTTTCAGGAGTTTAGGACACCCATGAGATTACCTAATTAATTGTAGTGATTGATTATAGGGGCTTGGACCAAATATTTTCCATTCATTTTAGGCCACAGCAGATGAAAGTGACCGTGACTATGACTCCTATCAAGATGGTCAGGCTAACTTGAAGGATAAATTGTAAAAAGGCTCCACATCCAGAGCCAAGATGGTTAAGTATGTTTCAGGTGTTGTTGAGATTGACCTGAGAAAGCCACACTGCTTTCTAAGGTAGAAGATAATTGTTCCACCTTTCCTGATTCATTAATCTAAGTGCAGTAATAGGTGTTGGCATTTGAATATATTCTCCCTTGAATGCCCAGCAGGAGGTCCAGGGCAACATGATTGTTTATTATCATTTGCATTAGAGATTTTACACTGGTTTATGTTTGTCAGGCAAGTATAGGTCTGATGTCCACATAAGTACCCTACTGGGGGCATAAACTGTATTAGGAGTATAAGTGCCATTTATGACAACAAGGGTGGGTCAATTTTGTGTCCCTTATGGTGGACAAACTCCTTGTTTAAAGCTAAATAATCTCCTGCAAAGCAGGCTGCAGTGCTGCTTCTGCAGAGGACAATCTGGCTATGAGAGCCAACCAGCCTAGCCCTTATTGTATAGACTGTTCCAGGTGAACTAGAGTCTGCTAATACAGAAGTTTGTAGTGACTTCGGTCATGGCATTTTGCTGACATGGGGGTCAAGGTTTAATTCTTCAGTGTCTGAAGGAAAAGCTGTTAAGTTTTTGTCAGCAGGGTCAGGAGGGAATGATAGATGTAGCAATCAGTTAAATTCAGCAGTGGTGCTGGTCTGGAAAAAGCATACAAGAGAACTTTTTTCTTAGATGATAGGGAGAGACCACAAGGGAGTAGGCTTGTCGGGGGGGACATATTAATATCCAGAAAGTTAATCTTGTTCTGTCATCTCAGGTGGAGGTCATCTATCTGAAAGGGCAACAGTTTTTAAAGTCTAAAAACTAAGGATCTAAGTCCTAACATCTAGGACTCTAGGATTTAAGTTAAAAATGGGTTTTCAAAGATTTATTTATTTATTTATTTAAAAAAAGAATGGGTATTCAAGTTTACAAAGGCATTCTGAGATGATAGACCAGGCCAGGTGTCCTATAAGTGAGAGGCAAGAGAGGCTTAATGATTCTTTCCCCAACCCCTGACTTCCCAGGGTTTAGAGTATTCCTCTCCTACCAGCTGGGCTCTTCATTTCCTTCCATAGCCACATGATTGGTATAACCAGTCTCTGCAGCAATCACTTTATTCTTTTTTCCAATCCTCATCATTTCTAACCCACACCATTTGCTCAGATTCATCTCTCAGTGGTTTTTTGTTTGTTTGTTTGTTTTGTTTTGTATAGCTTGTAGCATCCTAGAACTTGTCCCACCCTAAAGGTGGGGACTTGCCAGGACCACTTTAGAGTTATCATCTCATACTCATGATTTTCTTCTGTGCTCTAGTTCAAATATATCTTACCAAGGCATCTGAAATACCTGCTACTTCCAGTTCATCAGGTCCAACTAGCATAATGTTGTCATTATGAACTACCAGAATGAACCAGTGTGATGTTTTGTGGAATGTCAAGAGGATCAACATTTCTGTAGACTACATTAAGGAGAACTGATGTGCCCCTGAGGTAACCATGTGAAGGTATACCATTGGCTCTGTTAGGTAATAGCCAACTGCTTCTGCTGGTTTTTATAAATAAGTATAGAGAAAATGGCATTAGCAAAATCAGTAGCTGTGTAACAAGTACCAGGTGCTGTGTTGATTTGTTCCAGCAAAAATACTGCACCTGGAACAGTGGGCCCAACTGGAATTACCTCCTGGTTAAGTTTACAGTAATCCACATTTTTCAAGATCCATATGACTTTTACACTGGCCAAACTGGTGGGTTAAATGGGAATGTGATAGATATCACCACCCCTGCTTCTTTCAAGTCCTTTCTGGTGGTATTGTTTCTGGTTTATGATCTTGAAAGATAGTGAAAATTCCAGGAGCGTCCCACTTGGCCTTCCTACTATAAAGGCACCCACCTCATGGGTTAAAAAGCCAATGTGGGGATACTGTCAGTTTTAGAATTGAGAAAATAACCACAAATTTCGTGTGTGAATCAAATGAACTAATAGAACCAACATGAGCTAAGACTTCATCTAACTACTGACCAAGGTAAACTTTAACTTTGGTTGGAGCATAAAAGTGGCATTTTGTAGTCTTAGGGATTAGTATCAGTTCAGATCCAGTGTCTAGTAAATCTCAAAAGATCTGCATATTTCCTTTCCTCCAGTGTACTGTCACTCTAGTAGGTGGCTACACAGCTCTTTGGGCAAGGCTTGGGCGAACATTTAAAATGTGTTTCGTAGCAATGGTGCAGGTCCTTCCTTTAAAAAAAAAAGAATTGGTAAAATTATGTATTTTATATAATGTATTTAATCTAACCCATTATATCCAAAATATCATTTCCAAATATAAGCAATATGAAACATTGATATATTTTACTTTTAACAATTAAAAAATAGATGTTTATTATGACATTGTCCATAATGGCAAAAATCTGAACATGATCTGAGGGGTCCATCAATGGTACTACTGCTGTGATCTGTGCAAAGTCCCTCCTGAAGGAGATGCTCCTTCAGTCAAGGGCTTCTGGGTCTGTGAACTGGTTTAGGTCTGAATACCGCGTGAGAGGCTGTGATTGTCCACTCTGCTGACTCAAGTTAAATTTTACCTACCTTAGAGCTATTATAAATAACAAGCAGTACTCTATTAGGCTGGCTATGTACTTTGTTCCTAGGGCATCTCTGTGGACTAAGGCATCTGATTGCCTATACACACCTGCTGCCCTTTAAGGCAAATGTACCTACATCATATTTGGTGGTGCCCTCTGCTATTCTCAGGTCCTGTAATCTCCAGTGAAATCCAGAAGCCCATCTCAGTGGTGGCATCCTCTGTAGTCATACATGGCCTACAGAGGGGAACATCCATACAGATTTTCAAAGATGCATGTCTTCCTCTCACTAATTTATTTCTCAATTTTTCAGTGAAGGGAGTGTCTCTGGGCCTTTGATGGAATGCAGTTGAGGATGGGTATGCAGGTAGTATATGGTAAATCCAGTATAACATTTCCCTAAGTCTTTGGATTCCCTGTTCCACATGTCTGGGAAACTTGGGCACCTCAACCTCACAAATTGGGTCCAGATTTCCATCAATCAACCAAATAAGCTGTTAGAACCACCTCTAGCTGCATAAGCTGAAACATATAATTAACACCATAATAATAAATTTGGCTCAATACAGTGTTCTACAGTGTCCTCCTTAGTCTAACACCCTGAGAAGCCACTCCCAAACATGTTCTCCAGTTCTCTATGTATCAACAAGGTAAGTCATTTCTTCTGCCCATGTGTCAGTTTTGGTGTTTAAGTTATTGCTTCCTTCTCCACAGTGTGCACCTATCCCCCAGAAGCATGCTGAGATTTGACCCTACTTAAGAGTATAGTGGCAATAGAGGGTGATTGTGGTGGGTTTTGAGGAGAATGTGAATTCTCTCTCAGGGGATTGTCCCAGGTGAGGTTGTCACAAAGTTTTCAAGCAGAAGAAGCCCACCTCCTCAGACAAGGGAGGGCAACCTACTTCCACTGGTAAGAGAGGCCCAGAGTGACTTAATGGTTCAAGATTGCCAGTTTCATCTGGGTCCAACCCATTCTGAGTTTTGAAGTCCTATTATTTAATCATCAATACCCTTTTACATGAGAAAGTTGGCACATCTGTGAATTCAACACAAGCTGTAATTCAGTAACCCGAAAATTAAAATTTTGTGTTTGATTTTCAGAAGTACCATTTTTGTTGCTACAATAAGAGCCTCTTTTAGAATTGCTATGGAAGCTCTCTGGTTCTCGTGCCATACCTTTGATTTGTGTTTGTCATTTCTCTTTGTAAGTATTCAAAGGAACTCAAAAGAATCCATCTCACACCACAGTCCTTATAGTCACCTTACAGCCTTAACAGTCAAGTGTCATTGCCACTTGGGCCCCCCCTCAAGGCACATGCTTCAGTTGGCACTTCATCACAATCAGCCACAGGCAATTGATTAATTGGAACGCCCTGTGTGCCATGAATCACTAGAATCTTATTTCCCTTTGGCAAAGAGTTCAGCACTGAGCTCAAGCCAAAGGCCCAATCAAACCAAATTCCTAACCCCATCTTTCCAAGGCCATCTCTTGGGGTTATAGGTAAAGCTTAATACAAGTAAAAAAGCTTAAGTGAAACAATTATAAACTATAACAGAGAATTAATGAGAGATTCACTAGTGGAAAGACAACCCTAGGGAATATACGGATAGCAGTTATAAGGAGCTAACCTCATAACTAATCCCTGGGCTGGGAGCTTTAGTTTCCCAAGAAGGCTCCCCACCCCCTCCTGACTTTATTGGAGAGGGAGGAGTCCTCTCACTCTGGCTCGCTGAATGGCAGAGAAGTAACACGTGCAGAAATATGTCCTGTGGAATTTACTACAAATCTTGTCTCTAGAGAGCCTGGAAAGCTGTTCATGGGGTAGTGGCTCACCTTACCACCTCTACTACAGAACCACTAGAGTTAAGGCGGGGGGGGGGGGGCGGGGGGGAAACTTCTGACCTCCCAAGCATTATTGGAATTTGGCACTGGAGAAAGCCAGGTACGCTGCAAGCGCCTGCCTACACACACACCAAAACCGGCAAGACAAACCCTTTTCTTCCTGTAATGTCTCTTCAGCGCCCTCTACCGACAAAGCTTCAGCGGCTGCTGGCAAAGGAAAACTTACTTAAAAGGGCCCAGATCCATTTTCACAGTGCAGTCAAAAAGGGCGGATTTGGAACAGCGCGGCAATAGAGCAATAACCTGCACAAGCATCACTTCTCAGGCTCCACTCAGAGACTCTGTAGCCAGAGGTCGTTTGGCAGTCTCCTTTCCCTCCGTTTCACCAAGAAATCACCAAAAGCAACAGAGGAGAAGATGAGTCTGAACAGAATGCAAAGGCCCTTTCTCTATTTCTACAGCTCCTCACCGAGTTGACATCCCAGGCACGCCAGGCCCGGTCCTCAAGGACAGGAAACCTGGGCAGCGAAAAGGAAGTGGGGAGAGAGCTCAGCCCCTGTGGAACCGGAGTGCTGGCGCTGGCAGGCCTCTGAAGGCCTCACCTCCACCTAGGCTGCCATCCGGTTCACAAAAGCCGTCTGAGGTCTTCTCCGCCTGGGCGCAGGGAGACGGGCGCGGAGCGGGCCCGATGGGCGGCGCACTGTGATTGGTCGCCGGAGGCCCCGCCCCCGCCCCGGCGCGTCGAGAGAGGGCGGGGCCAGCCGCCTGTTCGGCTCCGGCTGCGGGCGCCTATTGACCCAGCAGCCGCGGCGCCGCGGCTGTCTCCTTCTGCTCGTGGCGGGCGGTGTAGGCGCGCCGAGTGGCGCTGGAGAACCGGTGCTTCCCTTCGCAGCTGCCGCCGCCATCTCCGCATTTGCGGGGCGGGAAGGAGGGAGGGGACTCGCGGCTGCAGCTGGAGCGGGCTTCTCTCCGGGGACGCTCCTCTCCCTGCTCTCCTTTTCCTCCTCCGCGCGCCGCCGCCGCCCGCCCCCTGCGCCCTCCTCGCGCAGCCCGGGTCCGGGAGGGGAGAGGAAGGGGCGCTGGGGGGCGGGAGAGGCCGGCGGGCGGGCGCGCGCTCGGAGGAAACTCCTGCCGGATCCGTTCGTCCCCGCGCCCAGGGTGCACCCCGGCCCGGCCTCGGCGGCGGCGGCGGCGACGGCGGCACCGGCGGCAGCAGGAAGGCGCTCTAGCGGGGGCGGCGCCGCGGGGGCGGATCCGGCCGTCCCGGCGCTAAGTTGTGGGGCCCGGCTCCTCCCGACCTGGTTCCTTTCCCCTGGGCTGTTCGGACCCAGCTCTGTGCTGTCGACCCCAGAGCCGCTGATCCCGCACCTCCTGGGTGAGGGGGACACGCCTGCCCTCGTCGAGAAAACTTTTCCTGCTGACTCGGTCGAGGCGGCGGTGGCAGGAAGTCCGGACAGCGACCTCTTCTCCGCCTGCCCTGCGCCTGCCGGGTGCGGGCGCTGAGCTCGAGATCAAGTTTGCGGGGGCCCCTTCCGGGCTGCAGGCGGGTCCCGCCTGAGGAGGGACGCCCGACCCCAGGGAAGGCGGTGGGCCCGGGCGAAGGCCGAGGGCGTGTGGTGGCGCCGGAGACAAGGTGCGGAGTGCGGTCGGGATCCGCAGCCGCAGCCAAAAACGCAGAGAGCAGGAGCCCCGGAGCAGGGAGCCTCCGGCGGCCGCCTGCAGGAGTCCACAGTCAGCCTCCTTCTTCGGTGAGGACAGTGTCCTGGCCCCGAGTCTATCGAGGAAAAATGAAGTTAAGCCGCCAGTTCACCGTGTTTGGCAGCGCGATCTTCTGTGTGGTGATCTTCTCGCTCTACCTGATGCTGGACCGGGGTCACTTAGACTACCCCAAGAGCCCGCGCCGCGAGGGCTCCTTTCCCCAGGTGAGCTCCGGCGTGGGGCTCCACGAGGGTAGGCGTGGGGGCCCGCAGTTCCCCGCTGCTTCGCGACCTCTCCCTCTTGCCGACCCTCTGCGCCGGGGCAGGGCGAGGCCGAACCGGAGGAGGATCCGAGCCTCCCCCAGCTGGGGCTCTGCAGCGTTGGGACGGCGGTGACCGCGACCCGGGAGCCTCCTCCTCCCGGGCGCGCCGAGTTAACAAAGTGCCGGGCGGCATGCGGTGGCGGGATCGCGCTCAGGGGCAGTGGCCATGTTCCCGCACTCGCATTCGGGCCTGTTTGGGTGGCCTCGGGCACCTGCCGACTGGAGAACCGGCGCAGCGCCCGATTACCGCTGTTGGGCAGCCCCTCGGCCCACACAGGGTTAAGCTGCACAGACCCCCTGAGCGCCCCCAGTCGCGGAAATTGATCAAACAGATCCCATCTGGTCTGTTTTTTTCACCCCACTGTCTCTCGAGAAACAAGCAAAAGTTTATTACGTGTTGCAAACCTCTTAGATGTGAATCTGTAGGGTTGATTTTAGTGTCGTCATTCTTCAGCTATTACATAGGGTTTGTTTGGAGCAGACGTGGGAGCCCAGTAGGGAAGCGCGTGTTATACTCCAGCCGGAAGCTGTGGGGCGCTCAGTCCTGCGCCCAGTGGTCAAATTCTCCATCGAGTTGGGAAACCACCCGTCTTAAGTCTTTTATATAAAGTTACTAAAAATAAGCAAACAGACACTTGGCTGTGTTTGGAAAGATGCCGTGCCGCGTGTGAGATTTGTTTCAAGTTCTTTGCCCATGACCTGTACTCTTCAGAAATTTTAGTAAAACTGGGTGTTGTGTAGTAACTAACCTCTAAAGAATGAAATTGCAGAACTCAAAACCGAGACAAGCTGATCTAACAACTACTTGACTCAGAGATATTGAACAAGTTGACGGAGTTTTTCTTCCTTTTGTGACAGTGTAAGTGACCAGAGAGTATCCTTGCTATTTGTTCTTGTGCTAAGACAAAAGGCTTGAATTTAATTGAAATTAAGCTACTAACTTTACCAGAATTCGGAAAGTGAAAAAAAGACCTCTTTGTGGATGCTGTCATCAATACAGAGCCTTCAAAATATTTTGCAGGTGAAAGGTGTTAAAAATATTGTTGTAAACGTGTGTCAAAAATTTTTAAAAGCTTTTTCTCTTAATATGATGGAGGAAATATAGTGAGATAAGCAGTATGGAATGTCTTTAAATCTTGACTTTAGAGTTTGTCCAGTGCTTGTTGATGAGACTGCATAAAAGTTTAAAGTGGGGTAAACCCTCTGAAGCCATAGCAAAAGGAGTTCTAAGCCCTGCTTAACATGTTGCATAATTTGGTGGCTAAACTTGCTGTGATTTCCCCCCCATCACATTTCCAGAATTTTCTTCGTTACAGGAAAAATCATAAAAGCTGATACATTTTACTTAAGCTGTTATCTTGGATAATATCCTTTGGCTTTGGCTTGATAATCACTTGAAATGATTTATGCAAACATCTGGGGCTGGGGTTCTTTGGCAACCTTGACATTTTACTGTTTCTAAAGAAGTGAGTGACTCATTCAGTTACTGGGAAATTTTAGGCAAAGTTAATTCCAGTATTTTAATATCCAGCCTTAGTCCTCCTCAGGGGGCTTAAGTTCTGCATAGAGCAGAATGCATTTGATGGAAAGTGACAGTGGCTGCTGGAAGAGAAGGCTCTTGTCTGTATTCTGTTTTGTGTGCAAGGGGAGAGGATTTGGAAGGTGGAGCTTTTTATGCTTAAGGTTGACATTCTCAGATTTTCAGGACTGGATTTTCGGTTCAGGAAGAAAGCACTTTTTTGCTGATTTAGTTTTGGAGAGCCACTGAATCCCCAAACAGGTGGACAGAATAAGCACTCTGTAAACCTAACTCTTACATGCCTGACATCAACCTTGTGTGTCTTACAGGACAAACCTGATCCCCACCACCCGGTAGACGAGGAAACTGAGGCACAGAGAGATTAACTTGCCCAAAGTCGCACAGCTAAAAGCTGAGATATGAACAGGTGGCCTTTGGAGTCTAGGCTTTCAGCCACTGTATTTATTTATTTTAAGATTTTATTTACTTATTTGACAGAGAGAGAGAGATAGCGAGAGCAGGAACACAAGCAGGGGGAACGGGAGAGGGAGAAGCAGGCTTCCCACCGAGCAGGGAGCCCGATTCGGGGCTCAGTCCCAGGACCCTGGGACCATGACCTGAGCCAAAGACAGACGCTTAACGACTGAGCCACCCAGGCGCCCCTCAGCCACTTTACTATACTCTTAGTAAATCTTTGCCTACTTTTTAGGTCCCAGTCTGCCTACGGAAAAGATCTGGTGTGGAAGATAGAACATGTTGCTCTGTGGTTCCTTAGCTTATCGCCTTTTTTTTTTTAAGGAACTTTCATTATGAAGCTCTAACGGATGTGCTCCTTTTTCTGAAATGTTTAACATTTGAGATTTATACCTCTCCCAGAATGTCTCGTCGCTCACTTTAGAGCTAAACATTGTAGTGAAAACCATTATGCAGCACAGCATCCAGCCTTTTGAGTTGGTTTTTATTTTTTTATTACTTCTAAATCCCGTGTAAACTTTAATTTGGTGAGAACACCACACAACAAAACTAGCTTGCAATATATTCGGTGAATTTGAAGCAAGCTAGTCCATCACTGTATATCATTTTTGGTGTCTAGTAGAATGATTTATCTAGAAAGGGATTGATTTCCGCTGAATTTTAGTTTAGGATTTAGGATTTTAGTTTAAGTCAATGTGGAACCTTCAGTATTATATATGGTCTAGCTGGTAAGCAGGATACGTTGTAAAGCCATCCTAGATTGAGAGCAGCCTGTTTGCTGTTATTCTGGCTTTCATTCTTTTCCCTTCCTCCTACAAGTCTGTGTTTTTCACCACTTGGCCAGACTCTGGGGTGGCAGTAGGCCCAACTCTGGGTGCTCCTGTTTTTCCCCACCCTGGAGGAACAGCCTACTCCTGACATAGTCTTTGGAAGGCTTTTCCCTTTGCTCCTCGGAGGAATTCCTTTGAGGCTTGGAGGCAACAGGCAGCCTTGTCTGTGTTAGCTTCTGTGTATATTTCAGGGTTAATAAATCTCAGCTAGAAAAATTAATAAAAATTACACTGCAGTTGAGAGGCTGACCAGGGCCTAATTCCCTAAAGATGCTTTGAGGTAATATAAGAAACTGAATAGATGGAAAAGAGAGACATTGTTAAGGTCCTGAAATTCTTCATCACTTCTTATAAGCAGATTTCACAAGTTGTTTATTGTCTACATTGAGTGTAATAGATCTCTTATTAATGTCTTAAGTTTGGATCTGCAGAATTAATAAATCAGATCTTGTATAACAGATGATCAATTTTTAAATAGTGTAGACTGTGACCATAGGGATTAGTATTAACTCTTAGAAGTGTCTTCAGAGATTGGAACTCTGATAGAAAATGTGAAAGTGAAGTTCAGACTTCATCTTTGCCAAGATAACAATTACCAAGCAAGAAAGTGAGAATGTCTTTAAGATATTTGATTAAAAGACTTTGGACTGTGGAGACTTTTATGCCTTTTGGAATTTTTTTTTTAGAGGTGGGGAGGGGTAAATGGAGGGAGAGGGAGAAAGAAAATCTTAAGCAGGTTCTGTGCCCAGTGCAGAGCCTGACACTGGGCTTGATCTCACAACCCTGAGATCATGACCTAAGCCGAAATCAAGAGACGGTCGCTTAATGGACTGTCCCATCTAGGCCTTTTGGATTTTAACTTTCATTGTGAATAAACACATATAAAAATATGCTTAAATGTTTTACACCTTTAGTACTTTTTAAAGAGTCCATAGTTGATGCTTAATAAAAGTTGACTTTAGTCTTCCAGTTGTTTTTTCTTGCTTTCAGAAATCTGAGAATCTTAAGAATGATATATAGAAAAACATGCTCTTCCTTGCTTCTCCATACTCTAGTGCACTCCATAAACTATAGCACTTGTCACTGGAGTTTGGGCAGGTGTGTGTAAGGGAGTTAGTTTCATTGTGGAGGGTGTAATGTTTGAGATCTGTGACTTTGGCAAGTGATC